GGGTGTGGGCAGGGGACGTGAAACGTACTTAAACGCTAAGGACGAACCACCCCTCGCCGTGTGTCTCGAGGAGCGCGATCGTACCACCTCTCTCGCTTTCTCTCTCTCCTTTTAAACTTACTCGCAATTAAGGCACCCTCGTTACGTCTATCTCCGTTCTTTCTTTCTCCTCGAAGGAATTCGCGCGAGAAACCCTCGTTAGCTGGTGTTAGACAGCGCGGACGAAATCACCGGCCCCCGAAAAGTTAAAGGCTGGGACGCGAACCGGAACCGATACCATTCGTAGAGGCGATTCCGTTTCTCTTCATACAGATTTCAGATTTCGTATCGCTCATTCACGTGAGTCGTTCGCGTCCAATTCCTATTTCGAACAATCCCCTCTACGAACGGTTCCTGTCGGCGTACACCCATAAAAGCACTAAATAGGTTCGATTACTCTGTTGATGCGTTAGTAAAATTATACATGAATAGACAATAGATATTTGATAATAAGACAGAAAAAATAGATAGCTCCCATATATATGTAATACATAAAATATCCCCCAACGCGTGATCCATGTTTCAAGTACTGATTCACTGTTCAAAGCCAACGGAGAAAGATTTACATAAATAGTCTACACCTTATTTGATCTCGTTCAACAATTTTTCTATTCTACTCGCAAATTAATTCAATTTCTTCTCTTTATATTATAATTTATACATGATTTAATTTAGTGACTACAGCGAACGATTGGAATTGTGATATTCATCAAACAAAATCGAATAAGATGTAGTTTGTTCGAATCTTTCTCGTCGTCCTCGAACACGGTATCAGTACCTGAGGCATTTCACAAGGTCAGGGGACAGGACAAGGTAGACGACGAAAGCAAGGAGAAAGAACGAATGAAGCGGACGAAATCGAGGGTGCTTTGACTATCGTAGATACTTACTGGCAACGCCGGAGGCATTCGGATCCTTGTGGGTGTGCTTCATGTGCTCCATGAGAGCCTCGCCACCGAGGAAGAGTTTGTGGCAGACGGGACAGCTGGTTGCATTCGGACCGCCGATCAGGGCGGCGTGTTGCTGGAACACAACACGCTGTTGCAACTCCTTTTTTGGTGTGCCCGGAAGAAGTGTGTGAACACCGGAAGCAGGCAGCACGCGTTGTAGCACGCACCCAGGGTAGTAGAGAGCCGACCCCACAGAATACCACCACAGAGTCGCGAGACCAGAAGCGCAGGACAGGCAGCGCACAGAACAGAACGATTTGAACCAGTGAGAGTTAAGGCACCGCCGCCACCACGAATTATTGTATTTTCATTTTTTTTCTTTTCTTTTTGTTCTATCTTTTTCATTTGCAATTAGGGAATTCACCTCGAGTGTCTGGTAAAGAACTTGTCTTCGTTTTCTTTTTTTTTTTTTTTGGCAAGGGAACGTGAACGTTAAGACGGGATTGCACTGGAGGAAAGTCGTGAGACGAGACATGAGTCTTTTTAAGAGATATGTTATGTGTGAGTCGACGAAAGGGGCCAGGGATGGTACGAGGACGATCGGATGGAGAAAGCAAAGCCCAGACAGACGAATTTTATTATAATAAAGCGTGAGGTCTGGAGAACGATCGGCACGATTTACACGATCGAGAAGTATTCTGTGGTGGTTAACTTGTGAAAATAAAAAAGGGGAGGGGTAAATAAAAAAAAAAAAGACAACGCGAGACACGATGGATCATGGATCACCGATTGATCTCGCACGACCTCACAGATGAACGGGAATGCAAAGCATATAGATCAAATGACTAGCTACTACGACACAATTATTTACGATGGCCTCTGTTGCGGTTATCGTTTCAATCGTCGATTCGCGATTACTACGGTACAACTTGCTGTGTAAGTACGTTTCGTATTCGCGACGGGAAGATCGCGCTTGAGTAAGCGGCTAGCTAACAAAGGCCATCCTTTTAATAAACAGGTACACAAAATATGAGAAGAGTAATGAACGAAATTCGACGTCCTCATTTGCAAGTATGATTACCGGTCTTGTATCGAGATACAATTTCGCGGTCGTATCGTATTCATTTCTTTTTTTTTTTTTAAATTGTCTGTTTTCATTTTTTTATCTTCGACGCGGATGTACGCGCATTATTTTTTCTCTCTCGCACACGCACGAAGGTCGGTTATACGCACACACGAGGCGGTAGGGGCACGCGTTCAGGAAAAACATGGCGACCAACCTTGCTCGAAAGAGTATTTCAAACGAAACGAACAGAAAAAGAGTACGAAGGAGGAACGAAAGAAGGAGGCGACGAAGAGGTGGGAGGAAGGAAAGGCTAAAACGAGACCAGACGGCAATGACCCCAAACTTTTGGGGTCTTTACTCGTTCCTTTCTTCCTGCCTTACAGCTCCTCCCTACCTCTTCGACTCTTTGATACCAGTCATCCTTCTTTCTTTCTTCCTCCCCCTCCCTACAGGGGCAGCCTCTTTCTTTTCCTCTTTCATCGCGTCTACAGCCGTCTCTTTCTCTTGTTCTTTCTCTCCCCCTTTCTCTACCTATTTTTATCGCAGCGACCCGGATTCTTCTTTTTCCCCGGACCTACGACAACCGCGAACGAGTCGAGGCGATCGGCGAACAGGAAGCCGAATCTCGGACCAGTTTAAGACAACACCGGACGTCGCTGACCTCATTTTTCAACTAGCCTTCCACTCACGGACTCCCCTTGCGAAAAAAAACATTTTATCCGTACATTTTTATCTAACCTGAGAGATACTCCACGCCGATAAGCTACCATAGATAAGATTATTCGTCGCGTTTTGACGTTTGAAAAATTATACGCTTTACTCCTTCTTCGAACTTCTTATTATTTTCTTCTATTAACTCCTTATTCTTCTCAACTCTTTAGATTTCCGTAGGAAACCCGTTCGCCTGAATAAAGGGCAACCTCGGTTCTTTAATTCCCGCGAACTTCCTTGACCTGGGCCAACTCGGAGGTTGATGGCAGTAAAAAAGAAGAACGAAAAGCGACGAGGCGAAAATAGTGAGGTTGGCTGTTATGGCAGCGTCACTGAACCCAGGCTTTAGAGGGTCCTTGCACTCCTCCTCCTCCTCCTCTTCCTCCTTCTTTTTATTCGTCGAAACACCCACGCTCGACGCGTCGCGTTCTTCTCCTCCTCGTTTGACGATACCCGCGATATTCTTTTTCAGGCGCGCCTCTCCCGGTTGTTTTCGTCGGGGCAAAGGCCCGGCGTCCTTCTTCCTTCCCGGACCTAGGGCAAACCCGAGCCAGTTGAACCGGCACGGACACCGCGAAGAAGATGCTGGCCGTCGACGTCGTCGGCGTCGCTGTTGCTGCAGCATGCAAGTTATTCTCGGAGGGAGGCTGCGGTCCGTAGGTTCGACGCCCCGACCTGGCCCAACTGGAAAAAACCGGTTTCTTCGTTGCGCTCTTCCTTTTTTGCCTGCATCCTCGCTTTTTGCACCGCGAATACCTCGGCTCCCCGGCCGCTCTCTTTCTCCTCGTTCTGTCCACGGGCTGCGCCTCGGCCTCTCGCCGTTCCACGCGGCCCCTCGCGCTCCTCTCCTTTTATCCTTTCTCCTCCTCGCACGCCGGAGTGGATGCGGCGTGGGCGAATCCCCAAGGGACTTTATGATTCGCCGTGACCAGATTCATCTCTCTCTCTATGCTCTCTACGTACAACCGGCCACCGTCTATTCCCTTACACTCCTATTCCCAATTCCACGCTTCCTGGTCTCCACTCGCGCCGAGATTGAGCTCCGCCGGCAAATAATCCTGATTGTGGGAAATCTCCTTTTTATCAATTTTCTTTGTCGTCGTTTTTGCCGCAGCAATTTCAACGGCGTATTTCTTGCTCGTGCCACGCTCTCGCACGAGTGATGCATGTTTTCTTAACAGCGATTGCCCGTGTGTGTAAGACAAATTTCTTCGTGCGCCGTTTAAGGCAGGTTCGGGCCAGGGAGTGGCGTAAAAAGGAAGTGGGTGTGAGCACCCGCGTAGCGATGCGTGACGCTGGCCACCGCGTGGAGCCATTTTGCGCGCACGCGAATGGGACCATCTTTGATCGAGCCGAAGAAATTCATAAGTACATATTTGGGAACGTCAACCGATTTCCTCATCCACCCTCCTCTGTACTGGTTCAGAGGATTGGCACGGCAAAAGCGTAGATGTCAGACAATTTTTTTTTTATTACTCCTGCGTTTTGTTTTCGAGATTCAATTTTCCTTCCGGCGGGACATAAAATGGAGGTCCTTCTCTTTTCTCGGAGCCGGACGATAAAATCCGAAGGCCAGGCTCGCGGCGCGCAATTCTTTTCCCGTCATTTCTCTCCGGTTTCTTTTTTCTTCCTCGGCCGGCCGTCTCCTTTCCTTGGCTTTTTTAGCCGCAACGAGGCCGCGAGCCTCGCCGGCAGACAACCTTCGTGCGATACTCGGTTACACCGACGCGACGCGACGCGAGCCGACGTACAAAGTCTGTGAAAGATATTCGTCGACCGGTTCGGTTCTCTTGTTCCTTGGTCCGGTGACATACCCGGCTCGTGTCGCAACCTCGTTTTCTAATGGGTCCCCTCCCAGAGGCCTGTCGACGCTTTTTAATTGAACGCGCGTAGTGAATGACTCGACGTTAAATCGCTTATTCGATCCGGAGTGAAAAAAAAAATATGTACACGTTGTATCACGGTCCGTCGGCAAAAAAGAAGAGCGTTGAATAATAATTGAACGAGCATGAGAGGACGAGGTAATCCGCGGCGGGACGCGCGTGTGATTTCTTTCATTTAGTAGCTGTTTGATTTCGCTCCACTCTTTTGTTCGCGCTATCGCGTATTATTCCAGTCTGACGCTTTTCATTCCTTTTTTTTTTTTATTTCACCGCCGGCGTATCACGCGCTGGTAATCCGCGGGTTATGCGTGTCCGATCACCCCCCGAGAAGCGTAGGACTAGTAGGGGGAGGAAAAAAAAATAGTAACTACCGATCGGGAAAGGGTTGAGAGGACGCAGCTTCAACCCCGGCGTGTTGTGCCAATAGCAGTTTCCGCCGCGGCGACCCTCCAAGCGTAATACGTGGGACGGAGGACGAGGGAGGGAGCGAGAGAGAGAGAGAGAGAGTGAAAAAGTCCGCTGGGGTGTCGTACAATGGGGCAGTGGAAATCCGGGGCCGAATCGGCGCGGGAATATGATTTCATTAGACTTCGGCCTCGGCGATCAAGCGCGCGTGCACCTCGTCTGCGTCAACGAGAGAGAAAGACACGGGATGGGGAAAAAATAGGGGCCCGCAAGGGCGGGGACTGTGCAAAAAATTAATACAGGGGGAGCCGGAGGCGAAAAAAATGTCGGAGGCGAGAAGAGAATCTGGTTTCAGGATTGCGACGCGTGAAGTCGTGTATCCACTTGTATCACAGTTGCGTATCATTACGAAAACGCACAGATTGCTTAAGACACTTCCAAGTATCTATTGTGCATACAAAAAAGATCGATAAATATTCTAAATCAAGGACTGTTTCTTAGCTGTAATCAGACAGCAAATAATAAAATTCTACTTTGATTAACAGAAGAGAAACAATCTGATGAGCATTCTTGAAAGTTTCCAATTTTATGGAGTTTGATAAAAGTCAATAACTGCTTAGAATATACTTGAAATTTTGCATAAGCAATAATTTGAATGATGAAGTGTTGAGATAGTTTTAAAGTATTGATAAAAGAGACTTCCTCTCGATTATTCATTAAGATATATGAAATGTTCTATTATATGTTTTAAAATATTAATTGAATAATGATACGAGGATATGGCACAAGAGGATACGGACTTTAGTAGATGAAAGAAAATTTTTAGCCGAGAGCTGTCGTCGGTCCAGTTCGCGCCGCGAAAGGCCTGCGCGTCCCACTTTTCTATTTTAACACCGTAAAAAGAGGAAACGAATAAAATCCTTCTGGATGACCGCCAGGCAGCGATGTTTATGCCGGCGAAGGAGGCGTTGGGGATAACGCGAGGCTGGGATCGGCTTTAATTGGAAAACGGAAGAGCCGGAGGTAAAAATAGCGCGCATCCTACTTCCCAGGTGATTCGCAGCGCCGGTCGAAGGACGACTCTTCGGATCTCGCCGTTGCGAGCCGCGTTCACCAGCGAAATGAAAAACGTGACCGTTTTCTGGAGCGATAACATCTTACAGAGGAATCGTTGCACACGTTACGTAGATGTTGCGAGGCTGTCTCTGACGCGGGCCAGTACTGGCCGTGTGGTTGTTAGTGGATAGAGGGATTGTAATCGGTGAACGAATGCGAGGTACTGGACACGAGTGTCCAATTTCCTTTGAGTCTGATTCAATTTTTGGGAGGGGAAGAATCGAACGGGGATGGACCGACTCGCGGCTTTCCTTTAAACACTACCGTCGTGGATCAATCAAATGGCACGCGAAAATTTTGCAACCGTATCGAGGACGGATTACACCCGAAAGGAATTCCCATGGGCACGCATTTTAACCCGATCGTTTTACCTTCAATCGTTGTCATGGATACTTGCAACACTGCGACACAAAGAGAGACCAGCATGAAATGAAAATCAATTTAACACATTAATTCGAGAGACAAATTAAATTAGATCGATTTTTTTTTTTAGATAACATTTTTTTCAACAATGCCCATACTCCAACGTCCCTTGATATCGACTGTTATTTTGAAATGAGTTGAACAAGCGTTTCGTTCGCACTTGGAACTTGGTGCTTTTTAACGCGTTCTCCGGCGCGAGAAATCGTGTGAAAATTCTTTTGGAAAAACGAAAATAAAAAAAACGAACGGAGGGGGAGAAAAGAATAATTTAAGGAGAAACTGTCGAAGAGCAAGATAAAGAAGCAGCGCAACTGACGCGCACGCGGATCCGCATTACGATCTTCTATCTCGATATTCATATTAAAACGCGGACGAAATGAATCTCCGTGGCGAGGAAAAATAAATCTAATGGTTAACGAGTTTTTACCGAGCTCCGTGCTTGGGCAATTAAGAAGAGGGCAGAGAGAGGGGCCGGCCGTGTGCTCGACGAGGGGGAGAGAGCCCCGGAGGTGAGTCGGAAGAAGGTCGAAGGTACGAGAAAGTCCGCTAGCGGAAAGGGGTTGTATCGTGTTGCACGACATTCAACCCTTGTGCCGGTAAACTACAGATAAATACGAAAGGTTCTCTGTGCCACGCGAAACTGGGTAAAGACGTGACGCCGAACCAGCCAAGGGGAACCGTTTTACGCAACGCGAGTTCGCAGTGCTTTTTCGTTCATTTTTCCATTCCGCTCGTTCTTCCCTCCCATCGCGTCGGGTTCGTCTGCGTGGACGGAAACGCTTTCTTTAGAAGTCGATCGGTTTCTGCTGTCGAACGGGGATTGCCTTTTAACGCGAGGCTCACGTGAATTCGAAGAAGCGAAGTCCGTCCGGGAAACAAAGAAAAGGTATAACACGGCTCGTAAGAGGCACGAAGGAAGCTGAAGGTGGATAGGGAGGAAATCTAATGTAAGTTTCTACACGGCCTGGCTACCGATCGTTCTCATACAATACATTTTCGCTCCGGCCTATTATAATATTGTATCGTCGGAGTGTATTGTCTTTCTTGGCCGGGGATAATGTTTCGTCGACACGCCAGGCCTCGACCCAGAGCGAGCGTTAACTCTTTCGTTTCTCCCCCCCCCCTCTTCCTCTCCCCCTCGTCTCGCCGCGCGACTTCCTTCCACCCGTTCTTGTTTATTTTTTAGTCGTTTTTAAACAACGATCCATTAGCTATCAGGCCGGCCGACGAGGGGGAACGGGGCTAGATAGCCTGGAATAGCGAAAACAATTTCAAGAAATCTGCCCGGCGAAAATTCGATTAGCCGCGCGAGATGGGCTCTCTCTCTCTCTTTCTCTCTCTCTTTCTCTTCATTTGTTTCGTTTCGTTTTATTTTCACCGAGCCTCGGACGGACTCTGTTTCTGTCGCGCTGCCGGCTTTTAATTACTTCTCCGCGCTCTTTCGCAAGATCCTCTTCTCCGCGTTTCCCGTTCGTCCATCCGTCCATTCGTTCTTCTCCTTCTTCTTTTTATATTCAACTCGCGCCGCTGCTAAGACGCCCGGGCTACTTTTAACTCCGCAATACGCGTCTGCATCTCCTTCGTTATTTTATTAAATGCATCCGTGATTTCAAGACGGAAACAGTAACGAGTCTTCCCGCTATATACACGTCTGCCTCGTAGGTGGAAAGTCGGGCCCCGGAACGAGTTCTCGGAGATTTATCGGGTCACGGTAACGGGGGGAGCTTTAGTCGAGGATTAACTTTCAATTAGAAGATCCTGACGAGCGGAACGCGTTAAAAGAACGATATTTATTGCCCGGGAAGCGGCAGGCGCACGCACCTGAGATCCCGCGTTCTCAATTTCAGAAAAACCGAGCTTCAACGATCCCGGGAAAAAATACGGTTCAGTTCTTCTTCGATCCGGATGCGATGTCTCGATTAAACCGAATTCCGGTAACGGCTATGTGACTCTTGTCTGTTTATCGGCGGCTTTGACACGGTCGATCCGGGCGACTTCCTCTTTCAGGCTTCAGGTGGATATCCGTCGGTTCGCGACTGGTTACGCAACGTAGTTCCCGGTCTAATTGGCCGGGATAAAAAAAAGGACTCGGTGTTTCGCCGGTGGCGAAAGAAGCGCGAGAAGAGAAACGAAGAAGGAGGAGGGAAAAGATCCGAGTCACGGACTGGCTCGACAGATGCCTTCCCACGTTTTTTCGTCCGAAGACATGTGCCCGGCGCGGCTCGCCGCGCCGGCGAAAGGGTTGAGAAATTCAGTTGAGCGAGCGAGTAACCGAGGCAAAAAACCACCCCACCGGTACAAGATTCCTCTGGTAATCGCTACGTGCCGCGATTCACCGCCGAGGGGTGAATTCGATTAAGTGTCGGGGACGCGATCTTTTTCCCAGATCGTCACGACTTTTTTTCGCCGCCGCGTAATGAATGCCTTCTCCCCCTACTGACACTTATGCCTTTCTTCTCCTCCGCGACGCGTCAATGAACACCGGATTCGATTCATCTCTCGCTCGTTCCACGAGTCACTCATCGGGGTGTGCGCGTAGCCGCGCGCGCGCGCGTGTTCCCACTCGCCACCATTTTCCATCTTCCTCGACCCGTTTCGCAGGGTACAAAACCACGTATCCGTCGCTTCGACGAAGACGTCGAACACGATTCCGCGAGTGATAATGGCCGAATGAAGCCGCGCGTTTTATGTATGTATGTATGCGTAATTCGCTCTGCGAACTCCCGTTCAAGTTCGAAGCGTTGACGGCGAGAAAACCACAACCAAAGCGACTAGTCCCAAGAAGCAGTTACACAAGGGAACCCAGCGGAATGATCTAAGCTACCGTTAGGCTATCTCTCTATTGTTACGATACCGATAGCACGCGAGGACGCTGCCGTGAACCGAACCTGGATCGAGACTCCGTGCACGGATTTTTAAAAAATAATTGGATTACCGATTGTTCAACAAATTAAATTGCAATTTATATTTACTCATTACATTATGTGTCATGATCTACCATTTCGTATCGATTGGATTTCAACTGCATAAAAATCACCAGTGAAGAAGAGGAGAACGTAATTACGTCGTGAACCGTGCGTGGAATTCCGGTCCCGTGAAATTTGAGAGCCAGTTAGCTGCTGCTTTGAACGATAAACTCTTGCTATTGAACGTATCACCGAATCGAGAGGACAGATAGGACCGTGTTTGATAGAAATCGTTCGGACAAGAGAAAAGCGTGACCCGCCACCATGTGTGCATTCAGAGAAAACGTGTACCGCACCGCGTATAAAGAACGTATTAATAGCGTTACTAGTAAATTTTATAAAGAATCGTCTCGCAGAGAAGAGCGTTTTTTTTTTCAGCAAAGATTGGCAAGATTGGTATACGTTATGACAAGATGCGTATGTAGTAATAATTTATACGAGTCAAATCGCAAATTGGGTACAACCGTGCATCGACTTCGGATCTCCCGTTCCGACCGATTTGCGTTAAGGCGAATCGGTGTTCGATACGCGATGGGATAAATCGTGTGCGAGCACCGCGTTAAGTAGCCAAAATGCCTGTTGTTGTTCTTGTAGCTGTTCTTGTTGTTGTTGTTGTTGTTGTTGTTGGACGTCGGATTTGGTACATACATGACTGACCTTCGACGTGTGGGTACGAAGGCTGGACTCTGTGGCGAAGCCCTTGCCGCAGATGTTGCAATGGAATGGCCGGTTCTTCGCCCGTTCCACCTGGGCGTCGTGATTCCGTAGGTGTTGCTGTAAATTCGATAGCTGAATGAACGCCCGCCCGCAGTCGGGTAGATGGCACTTGTACGGACGTTCGCCTGGAAAAAGCAAAAAAGAAACAAAAATTATAGTTATTTCATAAGACGTCTCTACGATTATTAATATAATAGTACTCTGGCAGTAGCTTATTTTGTCTTATCGCATTTACATTGTATAAGATCTGCTTATACTTTTCCGTTGTATAAGTCGGTTGTGAGAATTAATTAAATTTTGCATTCTAACGAGTTTCGAGAAGAATCAGAAATTGCCGGTTGATTGAATTTTCGCGTAGCACGTGTATCAAAACTTTTTGACGCTGGAGCGTGGATATAACGGGCGTTTAGTTAGCGTCATTAATACGTCCGAGTAAAAAGTGGTGCTATCGACAGAACCATTCAGATTTAATGATATTTGTAAAAGCGTAATGGTCCCCGAACGGCCGATTAATCGTGGACCACGAGAATCGTATTCGCGGCACGAGAGGGAGAGAGAGAGAGGAAGCTGAAAAAAAAAAGGAGAGAGAACGGGATGGCCGAGGTACGAGACAACGGAGAGAGGTTAGCGGTTAAATTACTTTTTTCCCGGGGACGTGTGCAACAGGTATCAGCCGGCGGGATGAGATTTAGGGATGAGCGTAAAAAATGCCACTCGTTTTAAAACGAGCCATTAGAGCCGGTGTTTCAACAACCCGTGACCCGAGCCCTGATTTAAAACAATGAATCCTCGCCCGGTCCTCGTAGCCTTTCAACTCCGACCATCGTTTTTATTTAAATTCGTATCAGCTACGGAGGGAGGCGGGACGTCGACAATTTCTACGACCGGCGATCTTCGACACGAAACATTTATGCAAAATTCCTCGATGATTATTCTACAAGCGAATCAATATTATATTATGTCGAGCTAACGACGCGGGCTAGAAAATATCTCACAGGGAGTGAGGGAAAGATTGGGAGCGTTTAATCAGTTTCCATCGATTCGCGTGGAAGGAACGAGGAAGGATCGTTGCAATTTTTATTGCGCTTCTTTCCTCCGTGCCTCTATTCTAATTCCTACGACCGATTGGCTCAATTTCACTTTTATTAATATCGACATTCTTCCCCGGTCGTTTTTACCCCGGGCGCTCTTCTTTTCTCCTCTCTCTCGTTTCTCTCGCTTGTACCTTGTACAACCAGATTCATCTTTTATTCAGACGTGATCGAAGCTTTAATAAAAAATAACTCGGGAGGGAAGCTTTTTTTAATATCCTCAGTTCGCAACTGATATTGTTTGTGGAATAAAATTCCTCATTGTCAGAGCGATTTAAGTAGCAACAATAAAGTCGACTTAAACAGATACCAATCGCAGTATTTGAATTTCAAATGAGTCCAGTGTGTTACAGGCCTATAAGTCATTTCACTGATTGATAATTGTCTAGTAGGTATGCGCAATAGATTCATTTTCGATTTACTGTCTAGTCATGATAACCTTACTAAGCGTTCAAGAATTTAGGAGGAACCGATGAACACGTCACCAGTGTCCATTTCACAAGAAATAATTTCTAAGTAGTGTAACAGTTGTTATTTTCATATGGATAACCATTTTCTTTGAATTATAACTTGCTCGTTTTAAAATTAATTGACAAGCAGACGATTTCTGTGAAGCATCTCTTAATGAAATCAAAATACGATCATTCATTTCATATAATTATATGTGCTTGTTTTCCACGTTGAACATTTTTCATCGATTTCCCAACCAGGTGTACGAAGGGCATTTAATACGAATGAGTCAGGTACTCCTTGAATGAATAGAGGATCGGTCGCGTGTTTACGCGCGCGTTGCGATACGTACTTTAATGCGTTGCAGCACGGTGAAAAAGTAGTAAAATTTGTTTACTGCACGAGGTGTCGCGAGATGAATGCATAAACGGCAAGTATTCTTTTTATTAGCTAACGGGCGAGAGGAGAAAGATAATGATGACGATGGGAAAGAAATCAGGAAGACTACCGAGCGAGGCCGTGAGCACAATGTAAGACGGGGATACGTACCGTGTAACGTGCAGCAAAAGTTATAGCCAATACGTAAACTATTACTTTTACGAGCTTTACTTTATCATTTTTATAAGCCATACCAGACTGCTGCAGCGTGGCATTTTACGAGACGCGTTTATTTAGAAGCCGTGTATGCGCGCGTAAAATTTTATCGTGTTTGCATTTACTTAAAACACGCCTGTTTCGTTTGTGCGTCGTATATGGATTATATGAATTTATCAATGATCCTTTTCTCCACGAATGGGAAACCTCAATTATAACTTTTGGTAACGATGCTCCTACCCCTTTGCCGGTATGTCGTGTTTTATTCGTTCAAAGTTTTATATTTCATTTCAGACTTCTTAAATATCTGTTGATAAAACATCTCTATCAGTGTATTTAAGAAAGTATTTTATCTTTTATTTGTATTAACGGCAAGTGTCGAGTCAGATATAAAAAAAAATTTGCTCTACTAACAGGAAGACTGAAAGTAAAAGTTCACGCAGGTTTTAAAACGGTGGCAAGGTTAATTCGATGGCCTTGCAGTCTTTTTTAATGGTTGAAATCCTCTCTTTTTCCCCTATCAGTATTAAAGAGTAAATCGACGGTAATTAAATGAACTCCGATTCAATGTTAATGAATCGGCGTTCCGGATTCGATTAAAGCGTCACGATTCTTTCACCAGAAAATAAAATCCCACCGGGTTAATTGATTTCGATTTGCTTAATCCCCCGGTAATGATAATTCCGCGGATTTCGAGTGCCACGCGATAGAGCGAGAAAGAGAGGGAGAGTGATCGATGAGATGCCACGCGGCTTTCAATGTATTCGTTCCATCTGCTCTTTTTTTTATTTCAATTTAATACCTGTATCCCTATGTGTCTCTCTCGCGGCGGCGCTAAACATGCATCGACATTAAATTTTGCTTGACGACCGTAATTCCCCGACGGTGTATAACGTCATTACATTCATCACCTACACTGGCGCGGAATATCAAATGAGAGTGGCGATATATTTGATTATTTGTCAGTGCCCGGCGCGGCGCGGCACGGTGGTTTCGCAGGCGCGTGCATTTCCCACCCGACCGGATCCCCACCTCCGGCCGGAAAATTCCTGCCACGCTTTTTCCTGGACCACCGGTGGCGCGTGTGCACTTTTTTCTAGCCACGCGACGACGCTCTTCGTCCACTCGTCAAAATCACCACCGGAGCACCTCGAGCGAAGGTAGAGCGTCCGTTCCAGAGGTAAAAAAGCTTGCGGCACGTGGTCGTACGTGCAGCAGCAGTTGAGCACAACGACGACGAGCCTGCCTGGACGGATACATGCATCTCCGTCTAGTGCACTCAGAGGGTTTTCTATCCGATTCTATACGTGTATATACGTACATCCGACTATCTCTTTCCTTGAGTCTCTCCCTCGTGCCCGTGCACACACCCCCTCCCTCCCATTGCAACCCTCTTGCCTCGTCCGTGGAAACGACGAGCCCCCTCCTGTCTCGTAGCACCGACCACCCAGCGGCCCTCCACGGCCCACTACACGTCCACGGCAGAAAATTAATGTCCCCTGCAATCCATGTATAATGCATTCGCATTTCGTTCAACGAACAAATGAACGCACCGCTAGAAAATTTACGTCCTATCTCTCTCTCCCTCCCTCTTACCCCGAGTCCTCTCACGAGCACGCTTTCCTTCGGGCCTCTCTCCCTCGCCGCTCTCGACGTACCCGCAAGCGTGCACTCCTCTCCCTGTTCGCCACCCTATTCGTTTTCGCTTCTCTTTCGCGTTTCTCTCCCTCGATTTCCTCTCGCAGCTCTTCTTTGTTTCTCACGTGAGATTTTGCGCGTGTGCAACAAGCCGTCCCTGACCAACCCGCGCCGCGTTGCACACACGCACGCACGCATACGAACCGCGTACCCTCTTTGCCCCCCGTCGCGCGTCCCTCTTTCTCGCCGTTTTCCCCTCCATTCCAGTTGCCATCATCGAAATTCCGGCTGGAAATCATTAAATTGCACGCACTCACACGCACGTGCGTTGTGCTCGCGCCATGCCACGATGACCTCGTCCGTCTCTCTCTTTCTCTCTCTCTCCCTCATGTTGGTCGCCATGCTGCTGCTCGTACCGAGCCGGGCGATACCTTGAATTTCGCGACAAGAGGGAGAGCAAATATCCAGTGCCGAAAAATCGGGGATGAGAATGCAACGGCTGGAATGTTTGTTACACCACGTGCATACGTGCGCGTATATATTGGCCGATGATGTTTGCCTCCACCCGCCGCCGCGTCGCACCGATGATTTTTGTACGGTACGTTCCGTTTCGGATTCGACGGAAGTGCAATATTTTTCGGTAGCCTTTGTACTCCGTGCGCGACTATTGACGATTTCGTCGAGTTCTCGCATGGGAGAATTTAGTCGAATTTTCGATGAACACGAATTTCGATTCGACGAGATGGCGAACGGTTGAATAGTAAAAAATGTAGGGACGATCGTATTAACCTTGATACGATGGAAAGACTATTTCCGGTGGGTTTGATGTTACAGCGAATTTTCGTGCTGAACCACGTTTTACCGGGAATTATTCTTGTTTCTAACATAAGTGATTCAACCTGGAACGCATATTCCGATTCCTTATAAATATTATCAATTGTCGTACTGATCCCAAGCTATCACAATTCTGATATTCTAAACGTTCGGAATTAGCTAATTACTTGGCGTTTATAGAAAGCTTAGATCAATCCTCGAATATCACGCTGGTTATAACTAGATTTATGTAAAATCACCAATTTCAGAACTGAGCTCTGGATTGTGATTAAAAAAGTAACGTGACTATCCTAGCTACTTAAATTCGCACATTTAAGATTCTATGTATAATTGAAGCAATAAATATTTCTATTTCTGATAATTGGACTGTGACTATATTTTAATATAAACGCATGATTTAAATAGATATTCTTTCCATCTTATAAATATCGAGACAGTCATTAATTAATTCTGTAGATTCAATATTTGTCTAAATGCATAAAAGTCGCAGTGTCAACGACACTCCCTATTGATTCATC